CACTTTGTGCCACATTGGCCCCTGGGGGGATGGGGGTCGCTTGTCATTGGTGCCATTCACCTGTCAATCAGTGTTACAAGATCTGATGGGTTTGGAGCGGAAACCCCCAGCCAAGAGGCACATGGGATGAAGTCACCACCTTAAAAGCTCGCAACAAAACCACCTTCACTATCCGACTTGTTCTGAAACTTCTGCCCTGATACTTCACTTTCTGATGCTGGGGGAACTTCCTACTTCTGTACAAATGAATCATCAACTCTAAATTGTGCCAAGAGTCCAGTTTATTTATGTCTACTGGTTTGGTTATGATTTCTTAGTCACGTTTCAGTTCTGATGCACTTCACTACAAAGTCATGCATAGTACAGCCACAGAGAGTATAATAAGTGTTATAAGTATTGGACTTATAATTATTATTATATTATTATTATCTCTACATAGATTCTAGATAAAGACAATCTGGATCTTGAACATTAGGGTGTTTAGACGGTGTATGATGGGCAGAAAATACATAGTTGTCATTAGAACATTACTGTGATATGTCCTTGAGCAAAATCCACTTACTGCAAATATCTAACCTTTCCAAAACGGCACATATAATGTACACGAATAACAGAAACCATTGATGGAGTGTGTCAAGTGCTCAAGTACTATACTCATACAGGGTTGAGGTGGAACAGTTTTCAGGTGATTTAGTTGGCTACTTTATACTTCTACCCCACTATTTTTCAGGGGTAAAGATATTGTGCTTTGAACTAAATTTATTCAGCAATCAGGGTTAGCTTTGTATTTGGAGATTCTCTTTTTTACATACGAAACATACGATCAGCTTATTGAAGTGATGCATTCTTAGATATAGTGATCTCAACAGACATTTATGGTTTGCAAACTGAAATCATCTTATCGAAATCTGCAGTGAAACAAATACTCTGAAGATATACATTCCTACTGTTTTCATTCCAAGTGACTATATGGCGACAAAGCATAGCAATAACTACCCGCCTCAAGCCTTCCATTCCAGAACAAGGTATAGAATAACACAGAGGAAAGTATCCGGGGGCGCGATAAGTGCTCTGAAACAGGAGACAGATTTCCGCAAGCGAACCCAGGTGGTCTGCCGTCCCACCTCCTCTGTTACTCATGAAAAGTCACTTTTCTCTGCAATGCATGCTGCATTCATAGAGGACATAAACTATACTGGAGCCCGTTGAACCAGAGCCAGATTGATTCAGTGTGTGACTCCGATTGTGATCTGAAGACAGCGTGTGGAGCTGTTGAAGGTGCTGAGGGCTCCTGCAGTGGTGACAGGGTTGGTGACAGTAAAGCATCTGAGCTCTCACACTTTACTCCAAACGTGCTGTGTGTGTATGTGTGTGTGTATATGTGTGTGTGTGTGTGTATCTGTATTACATGTAGGAATGATCTCCAAGAAAACACTGCAAATATGCGGCCAATCAATCAATCAATCAGTCAGTCATGAGCTCATGTAACTCACTTTCTCCCCCAGACCAGCCATCCATGTTACCATTTCACTGCTCTTTATACAACCAGATTAACGCTCGTTTAGAATAACAGGACCGACGTGAATGTTCTCGCCCTCGCTGTAACCGGAGAGCTTCGAGGAGGTACTGAGGGAACGTCAGGGGCCCTCGTGAAAAGCGGCCAGTCAGGCTTGGCCTGAGCCACACAGACCACTACTCAATCCATCCACAGCCCCGCACAGCAGGATCCAGCCATCTGGACTCATTTCTGCTCTGACAAGGTGGCTCTTAAGGCCCATCTGTATGAGGGCTGCATTCACAGAGGGCCCCAGGAATGTGCTTGTCTGGGAGAGAACTAAGCTGATTTAAGGGACGGCGGCTCAACGCGATATATCTGTTCACCCTTTACACTGGAACATGTCATTTCGTCAACATCTGTATTTTATTTTTAGTGCCCTGGTCAAACTAGGGTTCAGTCCGTTTGGTTTTAGGCACAAAGATAGGCCTCAAGTCACTCCGTTAATCCCTGTTGTTGAGTCATTTAGGCTACAAACACATGCAAGTGTTTGTTTTATAAAACATCTAAAATATTTCTATAATTACCCTAAACCCCAAGTCCTACAATCCAGGTTGTCATTTAATTGTTTTCATGGTTCTGTAATAGTTGAAAACAGAAGATTAAAAAGATAATTTTTTTGCTAAGTTATTTGTAAATGTAGCTATGGTTCACCAGCCAGTGATGCCTGTTGCTTAACTCTCTCTCTCTCCCCATATTTCATATCGTCAGTTTATTCCATAAAGGTGAACGTGCACAAAAAGTTGTAAATGTAGAAATATTTGTCCTATTTTTCTGAACATTGCCCAGCTGAAACAATCCACTGACTTTCCAGAGCTTGGTTAAGATATCCCAAAGGCATCCATACCATACTGGGCAGTAAATCCAGACAGGACCTCACTGCATGCATTACTGCCATTCCTGTGCTTGCAGCGACAGCTCAACCCCATTAGCTGTTCAGTTACTATGGGAACTAGTTCTAAAACCCCAAAAGAGCCAACAGGAACGGGTCAAAGAGCAACTGCAGGACATACGTCAGATAACCAGCACATGTCTTGCCTTGAATTCTGGGACAACTCACAAGGAAAGCATACTGTAACCTATTGTATGTCATGGTTGACCTGCATGGTTCTGTTGTGAAAACTGTAAAAACAATATATATATATATATATATATATATATATATATGGTACTACTTTATAGTAAGGCACTCTTTATACAGGGTTTATAAATTGTAACTAATGACTATTATTAATGGTTAATAAATAATCAACTGAAGCTTTGATCCGTTTTAATTATAAAAACAAGAAAGAATCCTTCAACTAACCATTCAACTTGGCTGCTTCCCTGAAGAATATCTGGACCACAATCCATTGATCAACAACTAATTCAAACTTTATTAATGACTATTAGCTATTTATAAAGACAACTTATAAAACCTTTGAAAAGGTTTTTTTTTACCTAAATTATAGCCCTGGCACTGTAAAAATGTTAATTCTAGGATGCAACTGAAAAAATACACAGTTTCAAGTTTACCGCAACTGTGGAGGCTCTTCACAATTCAGGAGAGAAAGTTTTTCCAATGACTTAGAAGTTGGTGAATATAGAGTTGCCCATTTGAAACCAGAGCGGCTGAGCAAAGACAGAAAATGGTGTTTAATTGTTGAGAACATTTTCAACACAGTGTAAATAATTTATTACAGAAGAAAACAGCAGCATACCACCTTGGCTTTATCAATAGAGACCCTGCAGTTCCTATTGCCGACATGTATCCACTGCACTGGGAGTTGAATGGGGGCGTATAGGTGCCGGTCCAAATGACCAAACATAGATGCATAAGACCTGCGTTTTGGCCCGTCTGAGACCGTGATCAATGCGCTCCTTTTTCTGGATATGATACACACCACATTCATCATCCATGCAGCATCTGTCAGCCTTTTTTTCACAGAAACCCTTTTAATCACATCCCCAGGGCCTCCCTACTGTTTCCTCATTGAAAATGAAACTGAAATATTAATTCTCAGAACTATAACTGCTGCTTTTACCGTAGGCATCCCAGTATCTGTGTTACATTCTACTGTTGCAGTGAATGCTTTAGTGAATTTCATGAACAAATGTGTGCAATGTTACATAATCCTGCCTTGGGGATGAGATGGTATCAGAAACGACATCAGAGTGCATCAGAGGCAGCTCCAATGTGAGTCCATCTCCTGGTAAAAACCTTTTGTTCTGTTGCCTTCTGATATGAGCTTTCCTGCATAAATCCATTCTCATAGTTAACTGGGGCGCAGGAGCTGAACCTGGCAGTCCAATACAAGCAGGCAGTGTCCCCCAGTGGTGTGTTGCAAAACTGTGTAGTAACTGGCTGAAAAAAAGGAAAACTTGGTCAAGTAGGAAGGCCTGCTAGGGCTGCTGACTTGGCCAATCACCAGCTTTGGGATTTTCTATTGGCTAACATGGAGATGTCAATCAAATCCTCCAGAGGGTGTTTTTCTGTGGTCTCCTCAGTGCAGTTTAGGAGGTGGTGAGGTACACATCCCCTCCGTGAAAATCCATGTGTTAACATCAAAATTGTCATGTATAAAGTAGCAATGCTGCAATGTACAATACACAAGATGCTGCATTCACAGACTTACTTGACTAAAAAATACTTAAATAATAACAATTAAAAGTTCTCATCAATGAAAGAATGGCAGTATTCTGCATAGGCCTAACATTATATTTGTGGAATATTATTTTCTATGCATTAAGGTGCATTTTAATGGTGTTAAAGATGGGGCTAATTGTAATGATTTAGATCATTTAATCTATAACAATGTATTATATTCTATGTTGAGCATATGTTTTTATATGTAAATCCCTTGGTTGCAAAGTAACAAACTACCAATAGTGGTAACATAAATGTAGTGGAATAAAAAGTGATAGACAATTTATTTTTCGTCTGAAATGTAGCGGAATAGTATAAAGTATAAAGTAGCATCAAATGGAAATACTTAAGTAAAGCACGAGTGCTTCGAAATTGCAAACATATTGTAAATATAATATAATACAATATAATGTGCACATTTTTTATAAGGTTTGTTTTTGTTGTTTTTAGTTTTTCGGGGGTAGTTTTTCTGTGTTTTTTCTTTTATGCTGCCTCCTAATAAGTTCATACTTGCTTCAACTAACAATGGTCAAAAAACAGTCTATGGTGAGGCACTCCCACCGCACACAGTCCTTTGCCATACCCAGCTGACGCCCATGGGTGGCAGGGCTGTTCCGGACCACTGGACGGGGGACGGACTGCTCTCTGATTGGTCGGCGGTGTGCGCGTCCCCGTCGTCTCCTCCCGGTTTTCCTGGCATGACCTTTTCCCTTGGCAACCACTTCCTCCGAGCATCCACGGCCATCTTTAATTTCAAGTCATTCATGAAAAGTTGTTTCGCTCATGTAAACACGCCGAGCGACACCTTTGCGCACAAAGCAGCGTCGACGGCGCTGTGTGCGTGTAGTTTGCAGCGACGTGCTCCAAACAGAGCCGAGCAGCACCGCAGCAGGCTGTCCGCCGAGATTAAGTAAACACCGAAAGCGTACGTGCATATTGTTCAGCGTGGCGTCTTGTGCATCACTCGGGCACGTTTCCAGGCTGCTTATTTTGCGCAATATCCTCAAAGCTAAACTGTCTGAATGAGCTATACACGTGTGTAGATACTAACGTGTTGCGTTTTGGACTGAAGGAGTAGTATGTTGCGCTCCCGAAGGAGACAGCAGGTGGAGCGCTAGAATAAGTGTACGGATCATTGTCTGAAGGGCACAGCTGAGTACTCACCACTGCCATGTTGTTCTGCAAACACCCCCATCAGCAGGGAGACGGAAGTGTTTATTTCTAACATCACGGTGGAGTTTTAACAATAACAAACTGTCACTTTATGTGTTGTTTTACACGCTGTGAACTGCCAGTGACACGCGCTGGTTGTCGTTAATTGGCGTCTCTTTAATGGCAGGATGAGAAAGAAGCAGACAGCCAAACAGAGGAAGACAGAGGAGACTCCAGTTGTCCAGGAGTTTGTGGTAGAAACAATTATTCGCCGCAGAATCTTTAACGGGAGAGTGGAGTACTTCCTGAAGTGGAAAGGCTTCACTGAGTGAGAGAGATTTGCTTTCTCATATTGCGTGATTCTTTTTAGTTTCGCTTTTGCGTCACATTCACGTGTATTCTCTCCTTGCCTCTGTGTATTTACAGTGCAGAAAACACGTGGGAACCTGAGGACAATCTGGACTGCCCTGAACTCATTGAAGAGTTCCTGAGAAACACCCACTTCTATGAGGGGAATGAGGAAGATCAAACCGAGCAAGAGTTAATTCCCAAAGAAGAAATGACAGAGCAGGAGACGGAAATTGTGAGTATATGTGAGAAATGCAGTGGCAGAGTGTCTGTGAGTTGATGTTGTTTCCATGTTATTCACAGAACTTCTGCTCCTAAATCTGTAAAAAGGAGGGGGGAAAAAACACATTATTAGATACTATTTATGTAGCGTATTACCAATTAATTAAATCAATTAATTCAATCAATTAAACTAAAGCTTTATATCTTAAGTTTAAAGGAAGCTGCTCTAGATTCTGCCCATGTTGGCAGATTTTGTTCCAATTTTTTGAGTTTTTTAAGGCTGAATATGAAACTAAATGGTGTGTGAAGGTGGCTAGTTTCGCAATGCCCCTGAAAGTGAAATCAATAAAAAAAAAATCATTTTTTTCGAAATAGACATGTACAGTGGGGAAAAAAAGGAAAGAAATATCCCCATCTAAGCTTTGTCCTCATGCGGATGTTGTCTTTGTGGGTTTTTTTTTTAACGTCTGCTCCTTTGTCCTTGACACCCTCTTCGCAGTCCTGTATGCAGTCTCAGCAGCAGGCTCACACTGTGCAGAGCAACAGCGAGCCAAATGACACGCAGTCAGACACCCCCACAAACCTCAGCACTTACCTCGAGCCTGAATGCATCATCGGCTCCACAGACAGACAGGGAGAGCTCATGTTCCTCGTCAAATGGTAACTCCACCACTTCCTCTTTTCTTTGTCCTTGACTGAATGCCAGGGGGCTGGGTAAATGTTTGTCTGATGGTAAAACTCACAGTCGCTCATGTTTAAAGCTGCAGTCTACACGGGAGGATGATGGAGCATCTAGTGTCAGTTTTATGCAGGTGTTTCATCTTGTTGTGCAGTGATAATGTCCATGTTATGTGAATATATAATTAACAAAGGAGACGAAGTTAGACGACGTTGGCCGTGACAAAACGCTCCTCAGATTAGTAACCGATTAGGGAGATCATGCTGCCATTATCAAGAAGCAGCGCTTATTTATTAACACCTGTCAAACACAGAGGTATTTCAAAGTGCTTTACACAAGGACAGGCAATTGAGTATTAAAACACAATAAAATAAGAAGTTATTAAAATAGAGTAAAATGGACAAAAAAAAATCATCCGGAAACATTTAAATATCTATTGTGAATCTATTAACTTAACCGAGATGCAGCACTAAAAGCTGTATTACCCATTGAAGTGTCATTGGATATTAGACTTTCCTCCTTCACGATAACCTTCTCAAAGCGGGCGGGACTTTGTGCTGATGCTGAAACATTAAAAGTAGGAGGCCGCCATCTTAATGGTGCGTATCCCCACAGGAAGAACTCCGACGATGTGGCCCTGCTGCCGGCCCGCGAAGCCAGCGCCAGGTGTCCCCAGGTGGTCATCGAGTTCTACGAGCAGAAGCTGACCTGGCACTGCGGGGACGAGGAGCAGTGAAATGTGTGCGTGGGTTGTGTACAGAGGTGGACTGATAAACAGCTGTGCTCTCGCCTGAAGCTTAGTTTAACCTCCATCGAGTGTCCTCCTTCAGCTGACATTGGAGGCGCACTGTGTGAAATTGCGCTGCAGGTATAATTCCAGATTCTGGCAGGTGCGAGATCCTCAGCGGGGAGGGATTTTTAGAGCTCTCGGTCCCGCGGTGCTCAACGAGGTCTGCGTGCCTTTGTGGAGACTGCGATGGGGACTAAAACTAACTTTTGTGTAGAGCAGCTGATTTGAGATCAGCCTAACCTGTAGCAGCTTTGGTCTGGTGTAAGCGGACTCGATCACTGTGGACATGCGTTTTCTTTTTATTGCTATGTAGTAATTTAGTATTTGAAGTCCTGTTTAGCTACATGGTGGCTGTTTGGTGTGTGCTTTATATCTTTTATTATGTAGGCAGAGTGAACTAACTGTTGTCCAATCCATTCCTCCATGTAGCTTTTAGTCAGAGCTGAAGATTGTAAACATGTTGTTCTAACGTGTTTTGTGTGTGGTGTTTAGAGCCACAGCTGTTACTCTGTCTCTCTATGACTCATGTTTGATGTGGAATATTTAAAGAAATTGCCCACCAGAAATCACCTAATTTTTCTAATCAGCTGCTAAGTACCAACTATTGTCTTCTACTCTGTATTGACTTATAACAAGAATATTATTGAGTTTAAAAAAAAAAAAAATCTTTTATCTGGTGCTTACACAAAGTTCTGGCACAATTAATCAAATGTTCTTAAAAAATGTAAAATAAATCAATTGAGATTAACACAAAAACTGATGTGCACCTGTCATGGCTAATAAGTTGTTGAATGTCGCACTTTAGATATGAGACTGTCCAATTACTGTACCAAGGGCGTTGTCTTGCAGTAATTATACAGGTCCGTGTACACGAAACCTGTATGTTGATGGCACTGTCCTGACTCGACATATCTCCCATGACCGTTATGGGACACTCAGCTAAACCATAAACCTCCGAAAAACACACCTGCTACTGAATTACTGTAACTGTTGACCATGGATCTGTGAAGTCTCTGTGAATAAAGGAAACTTTTTAGTGAAGCTTTTCTCTTGTTTTCTTTTACGGTCACATTTGTCATGTGCTGAATCATCTGGGAGGAACATCAATCCAACAAATAATCAATTTAAAAACTGTAGTTTTGGATGTTTTTTTTTCACTGAGTCTAAATGACGAAGAAGGAAGAGCTTATCTGAGTCTTCTGACTTTGTTTTGAAACCTTTGTTCCTAGTCAGTAAAAGTTGGACATATAAAAGGCACTTACACAATGCTAAGCTAAGCACCATGTTATCTGGTTGATTTAACTGAGAGTCAAACAAGAACATTTGGATTATGAGAGAAGAAACTGACAATGCTGTGACTCCGGTAGGTCTGAAGTCCTACTGTAATTCTGATGAGATTTGTAACCAGGTTTATATTTATTAAAAAAAACCTTAAATGTCGCAAGTTGAGTTCAGAAGCTTTAAATTCTGTTTTTTTGTCTTTAGCAATAAAATTATATTTGGTGGGATTTTCCGATCTTGACACTTGTCGGGTTGGTCATTGCACTTCCTCTATGTGCCAATAAAACACTTCCCCTTTTTCTTAACGTACTCAGTTCAGTGTCTCTCCTGCCTTCTCAATGCAGCAGGTGATCAGTGTTTGGGTGCGGGACCCACGGATACGAAAGAATGACTTTTGGCATGCCTACATCGACTACGAAATTTGTTTACATGTAAGTAAAAACGACAAACGGAGGTTGTTCTAGCCTTTACGTAAAACATTGAGCTTATAACGTGTGTCACACTTGTGTCCTGATTCAGACAGACAGCGTGTGCTTTACCAAGAAGATCTCAATCGTGAGAAGGAGGTTCAGTGAGTTTGTATGGCTCAGGCAGAAGCTACAAGCAAATTCACAGCTAATGTAAGTAAATCTTACTGTGTTTTGAACTGACAATTTGAGCAATAACAGTACACGTATACTTTGAGTTTTCATGTTAAAGGTAATCTGCACTATGGTTCCTGTCATGTTTAGGGTGTATTTGTTTTTTGTTTCTGCAGGGTACAGCTACCAGAGCTGCCCCCAAAGAACCTCTTCTTCAGCCTGAACAACGGCCAACAGATCACTGAGCGGATGAAAGGGCTCCAGAAGTTTTTGGAACAGTAAGAGTGATCTCACAGATCAATTACCCTGTGAACTTTGACACAGCGCAACAAACCATAACAAAACTGCTGACAGTTTCCAGAAACACCAGGCCATGTGACTACTGTTCTCACAAACAACACACTATATTGAAATTGCCCTTGCTCTCCAGGATCCTCCAGAGCCCTCTGCTGTTGTCGGACAGCTGCCTGCATCTTTTCCTGCAGTCGCAGCTCAGCGTGTCCAAGATGGAGGCCTGTGCTGCCGGACAGACCCACTATTCTGTGGCCCAGGCGGTCCAGCACTGTGGTCTGAGGCGATTCCACTCTGAAGAGGATCTGCAGAAGGACCTCAGCACGTCTTGTGACTATGACTCAGACAGGTTTGTAATATTAGACTTTTTAGTCTTTCTCCACTATAAAAATTCCTTAGAACTGAAGCTGCCTTTTACATCTAAGGTTAGAACTTTGTCATCAGCAAAGGAAAAATATGCTTTTTAAGTATAGACTCACTGATGTATTTTCCAGGACAGCTAATATGAGAACTCCTTCTGCCTCATTTTCCAAATTATGAAATTGTATTCACTTTCCATCCCCTGTTCTGGTGTCTGTCATTCCAGCTCAGAGTGTTTAGATCCAGAGCTTCGGATTAAAGATTTGGCAATAAACAAAGCAGAGAGTACAGCTTCGCTTGATCTCATGGGAACCAGCCAGGACGAAACCCTCAGCTGCTCATGTGGTTCTACATGAAGAAATCATCATCATCACATAATCATACCTTCGGCACAGATGAAATTTGCCTGTTACCCCGTCATACTGCACTTTAGGTTCGTGGTTGCTCCTAAGTATTTCACCTGTTAAAAAAAAATCGTAGCTTTTTATGTTGTTATTGGGGCAATTCAGTTTGAACCACGTACAGTAAATACTAATAAAAATGTAACTATTGTATATCCATAAAGTGTTGTGAACCCGTGTTCCGTCTGCATAGCTAAAAAGTTGTAGCAACAATTTGCCTGAAGATGGCAGTGTTGGTACATCAATCTGTTTGTAGAATCACTTATCCCATGAACATTTGTGGCAACCGTCCATAACCACTTCATAAACAATCAAAGTAGAAGCATCACTAGTTATGCTCATTCAGAAGGTGTATTTCTGCCAGATATTTGCAGATAAGAATGCAATACCTTAAGCAGTGACAGCCTGATGTCTCTCTCTGTGGCTGACCTCCCCCTCCTAATAAAGTGGCCACTGCAGGGCTTCGCAGTATGATGTATAATAGGGTCTCTGCAGAGCTTTCAGACAGCCCCCCTGTCAGGTGTGTGGCTGGTAGGAGGTCCTGTTGGATCCCAATGGACTCGCTCCTGTCTGAGAGGGCCACCAAGGAGACAGGCTACATTGCTCCCTGCTGAACAAAATGCCAGCTGCACTGACAAGTCACCTTTTCTACCTGTCTCTCTCTCGCTATACTTGCATGAGTCTGTTCACTACAGTCACATTTATCTGTGTGCGTGTGCTGAATACATATGTGCTCCTGCGGTGAGCAGCACCATGCTTATGCAGAGGTAATGACCACTAAACAGAGTGACGGCAGGCTGATATATCTGCACAGCTAATTAGATTAGCTTTGTCTCTCTGCAGCGGTGGTGATATTCATTATAAATTCAGAGCAGAGAATAGGCTTGTGCTGGAGAGAATGGAGAGGTGACAGCACCTCAGACCTGCTCTGAGCAGAAGAACAGTTTGGACAGTAGGACAGCCCACCAACTCAAATTGGGTGTGGGGAGGGGGGGTGGCATTTTGCCTGAAGATGTGTGGGTGTACATGTGTGCTCATGCATGTCCCGATATGCTAATGCAGTATATGCATGTGTTGTCTTTGACAGTGCTTAACTGTGTGGGACAGCATTACCCTGCATGGCTTCAAACACCGAGGCTGTCAGCGCTGCAGATGTTTGCTTTAGCTAGATATTCAAAAGAGGTTTATGCCTCTAATACATTCAGAAAACACACCTGAATTGTTGAAGTACAGGCGTTTTATACACAAATGTGTGCAAATGGAATGCCAAGCCCGTTTTACCACTGAGTCGTAACAAAACAATTTCAATTGAAGACTCTCCTTTAGACTCCTTTAAATACATTTTACAGAAAGAATGAAAGAACAGTTCACTTAATAAATAAACAATTACAAATTCCAAGAAACATCTAAGAGATTTTAAATTTGGTTTCTGGTAAACATTTTCTGAGAGTGGTGTGTTGGGGAGACTCCTGATCTCAGTAGTGATCCTTTAAATAAGCAACATTACAACCCTGAAGCTAATGTAAAAAGTACAGCATCCAAGCAGCCTCTCTGGACCCACTATAACCAGTCAACTCTCTGATGATAACTATCTTAAACAGCAGCAAGTCCTCGCCTCACTAAAGGTAAACCGCTCTTCAGTGAATCGGAGCATGTTAGCATTTAGCATGTTAGCCGGACCCAGCGTGCCCCTGCATGCCACAAACATCAATGGTGTGTCACTTAGCTCGCCACTTTTTTTTGTTCTTTTTAGCTTTGCTGAGTTACAATAATGCTAATTATAACCACCCCTCATATTTGATCCTTTATTTGATTGTGCTGTCTTGAAGTGTTAGTTCCGGCCCGTGAACGCAAACATTTGTAACGTATAGTTTCCGGAGAGCGGGGTCCTTTCTCTGGATTCCTGGCCTCCTGTGGGCGCAGACACGCCTGCAACTCCTTCTCTGTTGTAGCCAAATATTTATCTTCTATTTTTTTTTTATCAGGAACTTTTCATGTGACTTTTGTTTTCATTTGGTTAGGGAGCAAATTGACATGTAACTACTCAATAAGCCTACAATGTGGCCTGCACAAATCAACTGTGTAGCAGTCAGAAGGCTAAATGTTTACTGATTCGTCAAGTTACCCCAGGATCCAGTTGCCATGCAAGGTAAACATGGCTTAGCACATGGTGCAAATAGGTCACTGCATCATAAAAGCTTTGTTTGTTGCTTAGTCCTGTGGATTGAAACGTTTACATTACTTGTTTCGGTCCGACCTGTCCAGGAGTAGCCTATTGACTCTGCTTTTAATGGTCTGTGACTCTGGTCCACTGGCTGTTAACCTTGAGCCACTGTAGCCTAGCCTGTCAGTGCAGCTCTGCTGCCATGACAGCACTGACACATTTAAACCCATCAGATCGATTGGCTAACAGCTCTCTGCTCCATGTTGTGTGACCCCAGAGAGGTCAAATGGCGTGAAAATGTTGGGAGCGAGTGATATCACTCTGTTTCAGGGCTAGTTTTTAGCTGAACGTAACCACAATTATTCAGAAATGTACAAGATCGAAATCACGTTTTAATTATTTCCACAAATGCTTTATCTCAGTTTAATCTAATTAGTATGCTTATTGTTTGACACATAAAGCAGTAGAAAGGAAAATGGCTCCTCTGGGAGGTGCCCATCTGCCTCTGACCAAGTCAGCATGTCTTTCTGCAGCGACAGCTCAAACAAACCCCACCTCATGTCTGTGATCTCATGCTTGACTTTCTTTTCCCTCTGTTGAGTAATTAAAACAGAATCACAAAAAAACAAAAATCCTTTTTACCTATTTTATACTTTGGAATGAACCAAATTGTCAAATTTGAATGTAACAATATGAAATCCCAATCAGGGTTCGTTTACTGAACAGACTGCCCAGAGCCAAAAACAAATGGAAGTATTGAGGGTGATATGCTCCAGTGGAGGCAAATTACAGATAAATCAGAAGCTGCTCATGCATTTTAAGTGCCACATTATACAGAATCCATTAGTAGCAATAGGAGTTCAGCACCACTTGAGATATTAAATCTCTTTGCCTGCAACTGGAACCAGGATGAGTCAATATCAGAGAAGCCCAGCTGCACTGCCAATAGATAGGGGATGAGAGCTAAAGGAATGATGCCAGAGTTATACACAAACAACAGTCATGTGATAACAGCACAGGCTGGAGATACTGATGTGTAGCTTGTTTTACAGCCAGACAATCAAATTCACCAGGGGCAAGAGACGGAGCAAGGTAAATGATCTGGAAGTCTGGGGTTAATTGAATTGTTAATGACATACGCCTCGTATCTGAACATTTTTCAAGGTCTCCCACATTTCATGCCAATACTGAGCGCTGATTTACTGAGGGCCACAAAAATTCCCAACAATTATTTTCAGATCTGTCCTTGTGGCTTTTTGTCTTTGTGTGTGTTCAGAATATGGTGGAAAAATACTTTTTCTCAAGGCTGAAACATTTTTCTTCATCACTCAATGGTCAGATGGAGACGAGCTGACTTAAGAGCTATCCATCATTCATCAAACCCAACAACCCCGGTATCTTTCCTCGGTTCTGCACGGTGTACAGTATACCTGCTTTTTCCCCTCCACATGCTGTAGCCTTTTGGTGCAGGGTTGTAGCAATTACTGGGAACGGGCGGGATCACTGTACCAAGGCCAGCAACAACTTCATGTCTCCTGGAATCAGGGCTGATCAGCGTGAAACCAAGCTCTTCTGCATTGAACACATGGGCCTGAGGGGGAACAGGGAAATTGAGATCACTGCTTCATAATTTCCTGAAATAATACGGTGTGTAATATCAAACATGTTTCCTTTGGAGCGTACAAACAGATGGAGAAGGAAGGGCCTTGAGTTAAAATAACGTCTGCGTTTATACTCACAAATATTCTTTAATCCATGCTAAAACACGTGTATATTGTACAAACAGGATCCATAAGGTTACTAATGAGCTCATACAAGAGTGTAAGAACTCATAAGATGTGCGTGGTGTCAGCTACCTTTAGTGTCTATGATGCCTTTTGCTCATCCTTATATGAATTTGTGTCACGGGAACATGTGTGAATAACAAACCCTCCAGACTAACGTCTTCTTAGAGATGAGGAGTCAGGTCAGGGGGAGCTCTTTGGTCAGACCCAGTCCGTGGATGCAGAGACGCCCGCGTGGTGGCAGTGAGAGGACAATAGAAGGTGAAGAAACAAGGGAGGGAAAGAATGGAGGGGTAGAGGGCACCGTCTCTGGAGGCCTCTGTGCTTCGCTGCCAGTGTGTGTAAATCAGCAGGCAGCTCACGGCTGCAATGAGGTAGAAAATAAAAAAAACATAAAAATGTCCAAGTGAAATAAGAGGCAAGAAGAAATCTTTTATGATCAGCCTAAATTCTCCTTACTCTGCAGTAGATCCACTGGCTGGCTTAGCTTGTCTTCTCCAGACCCCGTCTATCATCCCAGTGTCTGCATAACGCCACAAATTACTCAAATTACCCCACCTGCTATTCATGTAATACATATGTAATGAGTATCCTAAATTCACATGATTATCATTCATGGTATGTTAATAGGGCTCATGTCATATTCAGTAATATGCACGTGAAATTATGTGGACTGGTAAACCAGAATGCTGGAAGTTCTTCAGATGTGGTTAAACAAAACAATCCGAACTCAAAGGTCTTCTAGCTTTTGGATCTATCGACCCGCTTGGTCTTCTTCAGCAAATAGGGCTGGTCTAGGTGCCATCACATAGTGTGAGTGTGGATCTTTGATCTTAGATTATTTTGGTAACATATAGGCAACATCATCATATTTATCACATTCAGCCCATTATCTTCACATTTTCTCACCCGTAAGCCACGAATATGAGCATTAGCCGGTCAGGTAAGGCAAGTTTAAGTACAGTGTTTATAAAAAGTATTTAGGTCCCCTGGAAGTTTCCATGTTTTATTGTTTTACAAATTTGAATTAGATTACATTTATTGTGGGTTATTTTTACACTGATTAACAGAAAGTTATTCTTTAATGTCAAATTGAAAACAAGTATCTACAACGTGATCTAAATTACAAAACATTTAAAATGCAAAATACGTGTTGGTTCAAAATACATGACTTCACCCCTTATAATCAATCATCACTGGTGCAGCCAGTTGGTTTTAGTAGAAACATGATTTAAATGTCTTCAATTCAAATCTCAAAATCAACTTGTACAGTTACAGTTTCTAACAATGCCTCGTAGGTGTAGGTCAGATTTGTTAGTTTGAAGCAGGAGCAACTGTCAGCAGTATGACAAGGCTATCGACACACAGTAAGTTTTTAATGTAACATGAGAAAATGTCCTGCATGCCGAGGCCAAATCATCCCTGAGAGAACTGCAAGTGCATCAGTTAAAACTGCAACATGATTTACAGTACCTGCAGGGAAACATTCATGACAATCTCTGCCACAGAAAAACTGTACTGAGAAAAGGAACAATGCAAAGGTGAGTCAAACCAACAGGGAAATTAAATATAGATACAGTATATAATACGTTATACAGGTGGTTGACAAATACTATTTGGCATTCAACCACAACCAAGGCAGTGATGATTTGGACTAAGGTCCTTACCTAAATCTTCTTTTCACCCACATTTTGTTTATCCATTAAAGTGTTCGACTATATTCTGAAAATGTTCTCTCCCCCTACACAACTGCCCGAATGCTTTTTCAAAGCCTGCCCCACATACGGAGAAATATGAAATGCCTTTGATTTGAGTTTTTGGCCTAAAACGGTCCGATTTAAGAATTTGGAGGCTTTAAAACTCAGCATGTGAATGTTCTGTGTAATTGGAGCGTGTAAACTCCTCTGGTTGTTAAAAGAAAATACTGATATAATACTGAGCATTGGTGTCGTCAATAGTAACCCTGATGATGTTATTCTGTCCAGCCCATCAGCATGGTCACTCTGCTCCGGCCTGCCTTGGCCCCAAATTAGCTCTGGCTCAAGGACCTCAACCAGAATGTGAGGTACAACCATGTAGGAATCAGTTTACACTGGATTGGCAGTCAGCTGCAGAGAGGTGTAAGAGGTACAGTGTGGAAAGGGCTATAATTACAGTTAGAGCATCTCTAACATCTCTGACCTCCTCTGATTACAAACTATCCTCCCAGACCAACCAGGGTCATTACTCACCTCACTAACTAGCAGAGTAAATCAGTGGCAGAGCGCTGGCCTGATATTAGAGCCACAGCTAGAGAGTAAACAGGGCCAGAGTACGGAGGCTGAAGCCTTGTAAATAATCCGCGAGGGCGTGGGATATGTTTATAGCAGGTGAACAAACACCTGTCACTTTGATAAGTCTGATTTATCCTGAATGACATGTCAGCACATAGCTCTACCCAGCCCGTGACAGCCTGGACCGCCGACCCCACACTCTGGGACATGAGACCTGTTTGTAGCAGTGATGCATATAGTATGTGAGAGAGGTAACAACAACAGTTTCATCAAATTAAAGTATCGGCTGTGACATGATGGTGTTCAACGTAACATCCTCTTAGGGGATGGTGTTGTTTTCAAGGCCAGAAACTGGACTTGGAGCCCCATGTGTTTCCCATCCAGCTCCTGAGACATTACTGTCTGCAGCTTGCTGAGGGCAATTAACAAGAAGGAAGAGCAGACACTCCTAACATGTGTGAGAGAGGTGGGTGTGGTGGTCGTAATAAATGACCTGTCTAGACCCATATTTACTGGCCTGCCACTAACCATGGTTTTCGGCTCATAATATTACACATTATATATTGAAAAATCACTGAAAGGCATGAAAATCTTAGCCTCAAATTGCCTCAAACCTGTCATGATGTTCGTTAGCTTTCACTTTAAATACATCATGTCTTCTTCGCACAATGTCGTAAGCCAGCTGAGGAAACCTTAATTTGTCAGCTGCCATGAGTTATGCTAACAGAAACTGACCTCAATTAAGAGTGACTTGCATTTAAAAAGTGTCTATATCAGATTTTAAGATTTAGGCCGGGGGGGGGGGGGGGGGGG